CTCTTCTGTTCTTTTCCCTCTCTTCCCTCTCTCTTTTCATTGTTAAGGTCCTCTTCGTTCTCTCTCTGTCTCTTGCCTTTCCCTCTTTTTTTTAATTGTTAAGGTCCTCTTCGGTTCTCTTCTGTTCTTGCCCTTTCCTCTTTTTTTAATTGTTAAGGTCCTCTTCGGTTCTCTTCTGTTCTTGCCTTTCCTCTTTTTTTTAATTGTTAAGGTCCTCTTCGGTTCTCTTCTGTTTCTTGTCTTTTCCCTCTTTTTTAATTGTTAAGGTCCTCTTCGGTTCTCTTCTGTTCTTGCTTTCCCTCTTTTTTTTTTAATTGTTAAGGTCCTCTTCGGTTCTCTTCTGTTCTTGCCTTTCCCTCTCTTCCCTCTCTCTTTTCATTGTTAAGGTCCTCTTCGGTTCTCTTCTGTTCTTGCCTTTCCCTCTTTTTTTTAATTGTTAAGGTTCGGTTCTCTTCTGTTCTTGCCTTTCCCTCTTTTTTTTAATTGTTAAGGTCCTCTTCGGTTCTCTTCTGTTCTTGCCTTTCTCTCTTTTTTTTAATTGTTAAGGTCCTCTTCGGTTCTCTTCTGTTCTTGTCTTTCCCTCTTTTTTTAATTGTTAAGGTCCTCTTCGGTTCTCTTCTGTTCTTGCCTTTCCCTTTTTTTTAATTGTTAAGGTCCTCTTCGGTTCTCTTCTGTTCTTGCCTTTCCCTCTTTTTTTTTTAATTGTTAAGGTCCTCTTCGGTTCTCTTCTGTTCTTGCCTTTCCCTCTCTCTTTTCATTGTTAAGGTCCTCTTCGGTTCTCTTCTGTTCTTGCCTTTCCCTCTCTCTTTTCATTGTTAAGGTCCTCTTCGGTTCTCTTCTGTTCTTGCCTTTCCCTCTCTCTTTTCATTGTTAAGGTCCTCTTCGGTTCTCTTCTGTTCTCCTTTTCTCTCTTTTCATTGTTAAGGTCCTCTTCGGTTCTCTTCTGTTCTTGCCTTTCCCTCTTTTTTTTATTATTAAGGTCCTCTTCGGTTCTCTTCTGTTCTTGCCTTTCCCTCTCTCTTTTAATTGTTAAGTTCCTCTTCGGTTCTCTTCTGTTCTTGCCTTTCCCTCTCTTCCCTCTCTTCATTGTTAAGGTTCTCTTCGGTTCTCTTCTGTTCTTGCCTTTCCCTCTCTTCCCTCTCTTCATTGTTAAGGTTCTCTTCTGTTCTTGCCTTTCCCTCTCTTCCCTCTCACTTTTCATTGTTAAGGTCCTCTTCGGTTCTCTTCTGTTCTTGCCTTTCCCTCTCTCTTTTCATTGTTAAGGTCCTCTTCAGTTCCCTTCTGTTCCTGTTTTTTTTTCTCCTTTACCTGTTTTTTATTATGATTTGTAATTTGTTTGGCGGAGATACGACTTTGTGACGACCGAAGGATTGAACGCCCGACGGAGGGGACTTGTGGGCACGTCGGCTCAGCGGGTAATGCGAGATGGGATGGTTTGTGCAAAAAGGAGGGAGGGGAGGGGGGGAGAGGAAAGGAGGGAGGGGTGCGAGGAAGGGGGAGGGGGGAGGGGAAAGGAGGAGGGCGGTGCGAGGAAGGGGGAGAGGGAGAGGGAAAGGAGGAGGGGCGGTGCGAGGAAGGGGGAGGGGAGGAGGAAAGGAGTGCGGTGCGAGGAAGGGGGAGGGGGGAGAGGGAAAGGAGGAGTGCGAGGAAGGGGAGGGAGGAGAGGGAAAGAGGAGGGCGGTGCGAGGAAGGGGGAGGGGAGAGGGAAAGAGGAGGGCGGTGCGAGAAGGGGAGGGGGGAGAGGGAAAGGAGGAGGGCGGTGCGAGGAAGGGGGAGGGGGGAGAGGGAAAGGAGGAGTGCGGTGCAGGAAGGGGAGGGCGAAGGGAAAGGAGGAGGCGGTGCGAGGAGGGGGGAGGGAGGAAAAAAGTTGGAGGTAATTGGTAAGGGAAGGGAGCGGGAAAAGGTGAGGGAGAGGAGGGGGGAAGGGGATTGAGGAGGAGAGAAGGGGAGCCGAAAGGGGGGGGGGGCAAGGGAGTGTAGAAGGGGTGGGGAAGGAGTGAGGGGAGGAATGCGGGGGAGAGGAGGAGGAGGGAAATTAGGATAGAGAGAGAAAAAAAGGAGAGAGAAGGGAGAAGGAGCAAAAATGGAAAGCCATTTTTTTATTTTTTTTATTTTTTTTTTTCATAATCATGAATGACGTTCAAAGGGCGTATGGGTAATTTTGATAAGGGAGAGAGGCTGATGTTGACGAAGACGAAGTTCGGTTAAAACTGGCGATAAAAAGACTAAGGCGGGACGGATTTTTTCTTTTATGAAAAAAGGAACTTGTAGAGAGAGAGAGGAAGAGAGAGAGAGAGGAGAGAGAGAGAGAGAGAGAGAGAGAGAGAGAGAGAGAGAGAGAGAGAGAGAGAGAGAGAGAGAGAGAGAGAGAGAGAGAGAGAGAAACATGCGAACCAAATTTGTAAATAAGTTGAGTAGGGCGAAGACAAGAAGGGCTGGGGTAGGTTAAACACCAAGGAAGATGGTGAGAGATAAGGAAAATGGAGTTTTTTCTCTGCTCGCCACTTTTCTCTCTTTTTTCTTATCTTTGTGGTTATCTATTCATCTTTCTCTTTCTCTGGGTATTCTTTTGGTATTTTTTCTCTCTAATTCTCATGCTACTGTGGTCGTCTTTCTTCCGCTTATTGTTTTGTCTGTTTCATACTCTCTTGCACTATCTATATCTATTTATCTGTTGTTGTTTCTTTCTCTCTCTTTCTTTCCATCCTTCTTTATGTACCTTTCCATATTCCTCCCTCACATTTTCTCTCTACATCTTTCTCTTCTCTCCTATTCTTCCCTCTCTTTTTCATGCTCCCCCCTTCCTTTCTTCTCTCCCTCTCTCCTCTCCCCCCTTCCCATCTTCCTTTCTACTTCTCTCTCTCTCCTCTCATCCCCTTCTATCTTTCGTCTATCTCTCCTCCACTACTTCCTTTCTTCTTCTCTCTCCTCTCCTCCCCTCCCCCACCTTCTCTTTCTACTCTCTCCCTCTCTCCTCTCCTCCCCTTCTGTCTTTCTTCTTTCTCTCCTCCCCCATCTTCCTTTCTTCTCCCCCCCCCCCTCCCCCGCCCGCGGTGGCATAAATCCCAGCCGATATTATCTTCTTCCCATACTTAAACCTCGCGACGCGGGATTAATTATCGACCAAGAATGCCAAGGAACTAAATTACAGCGTTCTATTCTTGAGCGTTCAATAGCAGCCTGAATACGTTAAACACTCTCCTCTTAAACGCGAAATAAAAAGAAAAAAAAAGGAGTTAAAAAAAAAAGCGTGGAATACCTGTGGGCTGAGTCGTCGGGTAATGAGAACCACCTGAGTGATCTGGGCGTCTGCTAGTGGTCGAGTTGTACTGTGAGGGGGGGGAGGAGGGGAGGGGAGGTTGGGGGGGTTGGGGTTGTGGATGGGTGTGTGTGTGTGTGTGTGTGTGTGTGTGTGTGTGTGTGTGTGTGTGTGTGTGTGTGTGTGTGTGTGTGTGTGTGTGTGTGTGTGTGTGTAGGGATAGGGGTGTAAGGAGGCGTTTGATTGGGATATTTGTTTATTGGTGTGTGTTTGTGTGTGTGTGTGTATGTAGGCATGTACTGCGTGTATGTTTGCATGCAAGTACGTACGTGCGTGGGTGCAGATGGCTAAGGAAAGGCGTGTATGCGTCCTCTCTCTTTTCAGAATCTGTTCTCTCGCTCACGGGCGGCGGCGCTGTATCGGGCGTGACGGCCTGGATGGTCTGCATTCCCCGCGGTTCGTGCTCTGATCGCGAGGCCGCCGAGCCGCCTGAGTGGGTGCGCGGCAGGCGGCCCCGGCCAGCGCGCACGTTTTAATTGCTTGGCTGGAGAGGAGATAATGTAAACAAGGCATTTGTCCTGTTTTGCGACCGCCGGCCTTTTATCCCGTGTCGTTCTCACTTGAGGGGAAATTGAAAATGTATGAAGGACACTTTGTGCGAAGGAGCCACGTTCGCACACAAACACACGGGTGTACACACATATTTGCGTGTATATATATACACACACATATTTGTATGTGTGTGTGTGTGTGCACATTCATATATTTTTTTATTGGATGAATGAATGAGAGAGAGAGGCAAACATAATTAAAAGAGGAAGGGAGACCTTCCTCCCCCATGACCCGTTCCCCCGACATCCTCCATCCTCCAAATGCAAATTCCCTTTGCCTTTGGACGTCTCGCAATCACAGCCTCCTCTTTCGCCGCGTCGTCCTTATTACAGCTAATGAGACGAAGTGATAAAGGAAGAACAAACACGCCACGGAAAGGGGCGAGACGGACGCGATTGGCTCCCCGTTTCAGTGGTTTGTTCATTGTAGAGGGAGTGGGGTGGGTGGGGGTCGGTGGGAGAGAGGGTGGGGGTCGGTGGGAGAGAGGGTGGTTGGGTGGGAGAGGGAGGGAGAGAGAGGGGTGGGTGGAGGGAGGGGGAGGGACATCTCCCCTCCCTCGCCCCTCTCCCTCCCTTCCTCTCTCGCCCTCTCTCCCCTCTCCCTTGCCCTCTCCCTCCCCATTCCCTCCTCCCTCCATCCATCCATCAGTTCCCTCCTCCCCCCACACTATCTCTCATTCTCTCATTCTTCCTTCCCTTCTCTCTCCGTTTCCTTATCTGGCCTCCCTCTCTCTATCCGTCTTGTGCCCCCCCCCCCCCCCACCTCCTTCGCATTAGGGAAACGGAGCCGCTGACAACCACATTGATATGCTGACACGCCCCAGATTCCCTCGCCAAGGATTCTGCTACGCTTGGGAAGGGCGAGGGAAGGATCGGGGAGGAAGGGGAGAGGGAGAGAGAGGGAGAGAGAGAGAGGGAGAGGGAGAGAGAGAGAGAGAGGGAGAGAGAGAGAGAGAGAGAATTTCGGTGGTTTGTGTGAGGACGAGGATGAGGAGGTCGAGTTTTTTCTTTCTTTCTTTCTTTCTTATGTTGGGGAGGTTGTGGGATTTTGTGTGTGTGTGATGGTTCGGAGTGTGTTTTATGGTGGGTCAGAGTGTGGGGTTTTATGGTGATTTGGAGTATGAGGTTTTATGAGGATTCAGAGTGAGGTTTTAGGAGGATTCAGAGTATGAGGTGCGTCGACGTCCCCATTGAACTCAATGTGTGAGAAAATGATTGTTAAAATTTGTTATAAAAAGGAAAAAAATGAAGGTTTCCAGCGATAATGGAAAAGGAAAAGGACATTATTATATGATTATATAGGTATTTATTCTGATTAAATACTGATTGTCATCCATTGTCTCCATCTTCCAACTCTTATTCCATTTTTAACTGTTTGTGTACATGGACATGTGTGTAAACATTCACTTTTTATGTACAGATTATTGTTTTAACGTAAGTATTTTTTATATTTGTGTTTGTAACATGAAGACATGTTATATCCTCATCAATTACTTCAGATACATTACTTACATTTGCACCAACAGATCTCTTCTCCATTTGTACAGATTACTTTTATTTTATTATCTTTTATTTTATTTTATTTTATTATCTTTTTCTTACAGATTACTACCGGCATTTTTACATTTCTATTCGTTGCTAAAAGTTTTCTTCAACGTGCCTTCTGACCGCGGAGGCTATTTAGCAGTTAGACGAATGGTTGGAAGTTTTTCATAATCTAACGATTTTTTTTTTTTTCTTTCCCTCCCGCAGTACATCGGAACGCTCGACGTCCCGCGACCAACAAGCCGGGTGGAAATCGTGGCCGCCATGAGGAGGATCCGGGTAGGTGGCTCGTGGTCCGGTTGGATTGGGTGTTGTTGTTATTGTTGTTATTGTTGTTATTGTTATTATTGTTATTGTTATTATTGTTATTGTTATTGTTATTGTTATTGTTATTATTGTTTGTTATTGTTATTATTATTTATTATTATTATTATTATTATTATTATTATTATTATTGTTGTTGATGTTATTGTTATTGTTATTATTGTTATTGTTATTATTATTATTATTATTTATTATTTATTATTATTATTATTATTATTATTGTTATTGTTATTGTTATTATTATTATTATTATATTATTATTATTATTATTATTATTATTATATTATTATTATTATTATATTATTATTATTAATAACAATAACATAACAATTAAGGATATAATTATTGTTATTATTATTATTATTATTATTCTTATTATTATTATTATATATTATTATTATTATTATTATTATTATTATTATTATTATTATTATTATTATTATTATTATTATTATTATTATTATTATTATTATTATTATTATTATTATTTATTATTGTTATTATTGTTATTATATTTGTTATCATTATTATTATTATTGTTATTATTAGTGATACTATTATGATTATAATTATTGTTGTTGTTACTGTTATTATTATTGGGGATGTTGAGGTTGTTAATATACTGCTGTTGTTTTTTATTTTTGGGGGTGTTCTCATTATCATTTTTGATGACATTATTTGTGTTAGTGTTACTGATTTTGTTGTTTTTGTTAGTGCCCTCATTTGTGTTAACGTTTTTCACTGTCATTATTGTTTTAGTTGCTGACATTGTTATTATTATTATTATTATTATTATTATTATTATTATTATTATTATTATTATTATTTCTTGTCATTGTCGTTGCCGTCAAGAATTAATGTCATTTACTACTGTGGAGTCCAACAGACAGTAAGTACTCTTAGGGTTGAGACTCGTAAAAGATTTTCTTAGAGGTGATGTAAATAGGTAGTAGCTCTAAGACCCTGATGGTTGCCTTGATCTCTTGAGGATTTGTTGGTAACTTCGAGTTGTTTATTTGGGAGATAAAAAAAGGCGTGGTAGTGAAATGTGGCGTGCGGAGTCCGTAGATTTTCCACAGGTAGATGATTTTTTTTTTTGTAAGGGCTTTGATATTGGTGTTTGGGCTGGAATTCATGGACGTCGTTTGTGAATATGTTTTGTTTTGCCATTTTCTGTGATGTTTAGGCTCGCGAATTTAATTATTTGTGAATTGAATTTTTTTTTAAGGCAAATTATATAGACCGTTTGGCTTACATTCGCTTCTCGAACACATGGCCCATAAATCATTCTTTTTATCTCTCTCTTAGCCTCCTTTCCATCCCATATATCTCCCCCCCTCCTCCTCCTCCCCCGCACTCCACGCCCTCTATCTTTTCCCTCCCTGTCTTCCCCACCCCTCCCCACTCCCTCCCCCTTCTCTCTCATCACGTGGCCAGAGCGTGTATAAAATGACTTCGCTTAATTTCATCCCGTAAAGGCTTGTAATTATTCTAGTTAATGGGTCATCTCCAGAATAATTACCTCGGCATTTTCCGGTGAATCAGTTAGCGACAGAATGAGGCTTATTTTCCTTAATGATATACGGGCGAGTGGCGAATTTGTTGCGTTTGATATTGTGGTGAATTTGTGATGGTTAAGATTGTGTGTGTGTGTGTGTGTGTGTTTGTGTGTGTGTGTGTGTGTGTGTGTTGTTTTTTAGGGTTTGAAGTTATTGTGAATTGGGATCTTGCTTGGTTAGTATGTCGAAAAAGATAACTTTTGGTAGCTGTTGAGTACATTATTTTTTAAAGTGATGTCATAACTTTCGCATGTTTTTTTTTTTTTCTTTTATCATCAAAATTATTATTTACCCATATTACTCAACCATCCCAACCCAACCAAATTCCAACTCAGATTTTCCTGTGTCTTTTTTTTTTGGGTGTTTTTCTCTGTTTTCCCTCGTAAGTGTCTTCCATCTAGAGTGCAAAGATGATGATGGTGATGATGATGATAATGGTGAGTAATAATGATAATAAGAAGAAAGAAGAGGAAGAAGAAGAAGAAAAGGAAAGAAAAAAAGAATAAGAGGAAGAAGAAGAAGAAGAAGAAGAAGAAAGAAAGAGGAGATGAATAGGGAAGATTGAGGAGAAGGATCTCAGCTTGATTGGATAAAAGGCGAGATTCCCAGAATCCCAAGAAATCGAATCGGATTGGAGAGGTTGTAAGAACAGGGCGAAGGGTGTCCTGTTCAGAAGAACTCGGGAGAACAATGGAGAAGCGATTGTGACTTTGTGGCTTTTCGATCGGGCGTCTAGGGCGAGGAGGAGGAGGAGGATGACCAGATGATGGCGTTGATTGGGAGTCTGATGAAGGTCAGGCGATAGCTGAGATTGGGTCGGGATGGGGCGAGGAGGAGATAAAGTGGTGGAGAATTGACCTGTTTTTTTTTTTTTTTTTTTTTTTTTTTTTTTTTTTTTTTTTTTTTCGTTTCTTGCGCTTCGATTGCGTTCTCTTTTGTCTTCTTCTCTCTCGTGATTGGTACTTGATTTGTATTTGTCTTTCCTATCTTTTCCGTGTTTTTCCATCAATTTCTTTCTTATCTTTTTCTTCTTCCTCGTCCTCCTCCTACTCATGCTCCTCCTCCTCCTTCTTTCCCCCCATCCTCCTCCTCTCCCTCTCCTCTTCTCTTCCTCCTCCTCCTTCTCTTCCTCCTCCTCCTTCTCCCTCCTCTCCCTCTCTTCCTCTTCTCTCTTCTTCACCTCCTCCTCTTCCTCTTCTCTCTTCTTCCACCTCCTCCTTTCCTCTCTCCTCTTCACCTCCTCTTCCTCCAGAGAGAGGAACGGGAAGTGAGATCATCCAGAAACTTCCCGATTTTTTTTCATGATTCAGAGTCGATTGCGAATGGTCGAAGAAGCGAAGGATTAATGCAGTTGTAAAAAAAAAAATAATTGAGTTTTCGTAACTGATGATGTGTGTGTGTGTGTGTGTGTGTGTGTGTGTGTGTGTGTGTGTGTGTGTGTGTGTGTGTGTGTGTGTGTGGTGTGTGTGTGTGTGTGTGTGTGTGTGTGGTGTGTAATGCGTGTGCGTGTACAGTAGTACGTATGTATGTATCTACAGCACGGACGCGGCAAGAAAACCCCAAGTACGGCTGTTGGATCGCGGCATTCCAGTTCAGTCTCTCATCGCCTAGTCCATAGAGACGAGATTCGCGCGCGTTTTTTTTTTTCCCCCGAATTGCGAGGCGAAGTGGTCTCCGGGCGGCCGTCACGCGCGATTTGGTTCCGGCGGCGGCGCGTGTGAAGGGCGGGGAATTCCCTTCCGTCGCGAGGTGGGTGTTGGGGGTAGGGAGATTGGTGTTTGTTTGTTTGTTTGTTTCGTTTCGTTTGTTCATGTTGTGGGTTTGTGTGTATAGGGGGTATGGGTACGGGTATGTGCATGCAAGCGCAAATACTCGTGCTGAAGGAAAATCACGGTGGAATGCCAATCAAGGGATTGGATTCACAGCATCAGAATCCAGATGACAAGAGTACGGTCTTCTTCCCCTCTTCCTGACTCCCAAATCTCCCTCCCCCTTCTCCCTTCCCCCTTCTTAACTCTTCCTCTCCCTTCCCTCTTCTCCCCTTCCTCTTCCCCACTTCCCCTTCTTAACTCTCCTCCCCCTTCCCCCTTACCCTTCTTAACTCTTCCTCTCTCCCCCTTCCCCTTCCTCCTTCTTAACTCTCCGCCCTTCTTAACTCTCTTCCCAACTTCCCCACTTCCCCTTCTTAACTCTCCCTCTCCTTCCTCTTCTCCCCTTCCTCTTCCCCCACTCCCTTCTTAATCCCATAACTCTCCCTCCCTTCCCAACCTCTACTCACCTCTTACCCCCTTTTCCAAATCTCCCCTCCACCTCCACCCCCCCCCCACCTTGGTTCTTAACATCCCCCCCCCCCCCCCCTCCGCTAGGTATTTTATGCGATACCGTCGATGCCCACTTTTTTCATCGCAGCGTCAAGAAAGCGTAAAAAAAAAAAAAAAAAAAAAAAGTGGTGTCTTTGATATCATTATCAGAGTCTTCATTCGCTCTCATCTCCCGCCGGAAGTTGTCTTCGGGTGTCGCTTTTGGGGTACGTTTTGCGGGGGGAAAAGAAGGAAAAAGAAGAAGGAAAAAAAAGCGAGAGGGGTCTTTCTTTTAATTTTTTTTTTTTTTTTTTTAAGATTTTTTTTCTGTTTATTTATTTATTTTTTTATTATTATTATTTTTGTGTCACGTTTTACGGCTAAGAAAGCCGCGGGAGAAGGAAGTTGTTTTATTTTTTTTTCTAAAGATATTTTTCTGTTGTGATTTATTTTTATTTTGTATTTATTTATTGTTTTTTGTTTTACGGCTAAGAAGGACGTTGTTTTTTTTTCAAATTGTTTTTAAGATCTTGTTCTTCTTTGTTTTTATAATGTTTTTGTACTGTTTTTTTTTTTTAGAATTGTTGACTGTTTTGCTCTGTTTTTAACGTCTCTTTTTTCGTGTTTTGTTTGATATGTCTTGTCTTAATTATTTCTCGTATTAATTGCTTTTTGGGAACGATTTGTATTCCCTCTCATTTAAGTAAGATTAAAGGGAAGTCATAAAAGATAATGCTAATGGAAAGAATAATAAGATACAAAGTTTAATTATTTGATTGATGATAAACGCCATCACAGTTTTTTATTCGTAATTGATATCGTAAAGTAGGGTGTGACTTTGCTCTCATTATCTTCGTCTTCTGTTATTAATTATATATTTTTTTTGTGATGATGATCGGAGGATACAAAGGGTGAATAATTTAAGTGATGAAGGACTGGTTATAGGAGGGTAAATGGTCGTTATCTCATTATGGTGATTGCAGGTTAATTAGGAACAGGGGAATTATTTTACGAGGTTGACAAGGGCCCCTGTTTACTCTCCTTTTATTCTTTGATTTACGCATATGGGCGCACGCGGATGAGGTCGTAAGCACGT